ATATAACACTATGGGGAGGAACATTCAAAAAAGGAGGATTTAGTATTATGTGGATAGGATGGTAGAGCCACTAGATTCTGTCACTGCATAAAAAATGATTTTTGCACCTAGTTTCAGATAAATACTAATGCATTGATGAGGCCAATGATGAAAGCTAAAGCTGCGTCCTTTGTTAGCCATTGAATGCTCTTATTTAATCATGGAAGTGTACGTGGTGGTATAAATCGGGCCATATCCTTCGCAATAAAAACCAAAAAATGTCGTTGAACTGAGCTAAAGCGGGACAACGATATATTCAAGCTAGAAAATTGAAAATAATAGTTCTGCCCTGTACGCCGTTGGTTTACTATTGAATATGGCCTATGTTGATACCATTAGGTTGATACGACCTGCTGGTGGGGACTAGAAGTTAGTGGCATTCGTGACTGCTCCTCCAGAGCCTTCTGTTATTTATTATATTACATATTATTGAACGGTTTTCGCTATTGTGCAAGCTAAAACGCGCTTGCAAATTTTTAGAATTCGAGACTAGTTTATTTTTTTATTTTCACAAATTACTGTGTTATTTGTTTATACTCTAGTCGTCTTTTACTCTATTCTTTCGTGTTTGTTTCTATGTATGATTGCTATTGATACAGTTTGTGCATATCCCTGCATAGGCTCATGTAGTAGTAATAGAATTCATTTTATTCTTATTTTTTCTATGGATTGCTGCGTTTTTGGATTGGATCTGTGTTATTTTTCTTCCTAAAAATGATCATAATTAACTTTATAAAATATCCCTCTCGTTACAATTATCACGATCGCTAAATCGATTAGCTATCCAGTCAACGTGTGGATCAGTTATAAACCGTTTGTTTGGTTTCATCCACATATGCATATATGCATCTATTTTACTAAAATTTGTACCCCCTTTATTTGCTCCTAATCTTTGTCCCTCTGTAGTTTTTACGTGTCGACTGCTTATGAGGCTGCTCCATGTACTTCCCAGAGCAGTCGCTAGCCTTTTTGCCCTTTTTTTATTATTGTTTTTATCTCATATTTCGCGATGTTGCTATCATTACGATTGATATCGATTATGTTGTTGCTATGTTACCTGCCGTTAATTTGTTATTAATCAGAGTAGCAGAAGTATAGTAACTATGTATACAATGTATGGTAATGGGTTCTATCGACCGAGGCACTTGCACTAAACTATGATAGTAATCACTCATATAATTTTTTCTCTGCTTTTGCCTGTCTTTTCTCAAGCTGTATCGAAGCTGTATTTACACGCGCCCACCATTAGCCTGTACGGTTAATTTGTTACCCATTTCTCTGAATCATACGCCCGGGAACTGTTGTTGTGCTCTAATGTCATTTCATCATTTTGTTATTTGAGTTATTTTTAGTTCATTGGCATTTGTAATTGACACCAAGTCTACCTATTCTATATATATATATATATATATATATATATATATATATATATACCTTTTTATGTACGAGTTCGTTTGTTTTATCATTACCTTGTATTTCCGCCGTATTAATTATCAGGTATATAAAGAGGTCTTCAACACACGTTTCATCAATAAAATAATATCCTTTTTCTTTTACTCCCGGGGCTCTTTATTACACAGTCCGTTTTTAAACCTTTCACTCATTGTTTCGATACTCGTTTTGTCTTGTCCTTTCAGTCTCATTCGCATATTGTGTGTTTTCAACGTTCCGACATCACCATCCCTATCGGTTTGGTTCCCTTCACTTAAGTTCTTAACTATTTGTAATTATTTGCCTACTACTGTATGTCGATTTACTTCGTCAGAACCCCGTCTGCCATGGTCTGGAAACCGATTCATTTAGCATCCTTTACAATATGAAATCCATTAATATAACAACAGCACGCAATAACAAATCAGGAAAACAACAGTGCCTGACTCAATAATTTTTTTTTCGTATTTTTTCAACTTTTCTTTCTTGGTTCATCTGCAATTTATACCCAGATCACCAGTACTTTAGCACGTCCTCATCGCGTTAGCATCAAAGTATACGTGTATCAATACTCCATTCTTCCCAACTGACGACCCTTTTCAATTCAAATAACTACAGAATAGTTATCGTAATGACTTTTCTAACGGTTCATCGGGTCGTTTGTCTCTCAACATCGACTAGGTACTACCACACTTTTTGGTACGTCTTCTCCGTTTGTATATCAGCCTATCCATGATACATATCATATGTTCACCACCATATATGGTGTATGCAGACTAAACCAGTGCATGTTTAATCTGCACATATCATGTTTTTGTTTTTATATCGGCTCTAGGTCGCTTACGGCACAACTCCCTTCGACTGCTACATTCAGCCTCGTATTGACATAATAGTAATAGGAATCTGCTGATCATATTCGTAAATAAACACGTAAAGTCACATCATTAGCGTACGTCCGTCTAGAGACAAGTTACATGTCTTAGCAAAAATAAACGCACACAATATGTATATAGATGTATAGCACTTACTGACAAGCATTAGCTCTTTATTGTTCTCGCCATCTTCGTCATTATCTTATATATATATATATATATATATATATATATATATAACCCTTCAATACGTAGTCCATACCCGATATCTATAATTATAATAATAAACTGGATTTCGCAAACTGCCTACAGCTAGACTACTCAGTTCAGTTTTGCCGTCGTACTGCCCCGATCAGCCTTCTGGCCGTAATTGGGTTTGACCTATAGGACATAGTTCTTGAAACCATTGCACTTCATAATCAACACCATGTTGTTACTATGGGCTTGGTATGATCTTGCTTGCTGATAAAAATTCGAAAGTGTTATAAAACTGCCCGGTGTAACCTACGATAATCATGCCCTTCCTTTTCTTTTGCTCCTCAGGTAATCTTCTGTTCGATTAGCAAGGTTCATGACCGACCTGCACATGTTTTTTTGTGTCATCCGAAACATCCGACGAAGGCAACTCACTGAGAACAGAATGAATCTTGTGAAAACTGAGAGTTGCAGCCGATAGTATAGCTGTCAACAGTTATTCATTCAATACTCACCAATTCGATAAACACCACATACAACTAATTTAATTATATTACAGAAAAAATGGTGATTTGATAGCGGACAATAAATGGGCGTAACTAAAATGGCTTCTTCTTCTTTAAAAGCCTACTACGGCTAACGCCAATCACTATTGCTACTACTGGTACAAGAGCAGTATCAAAAGCTAGATTCGTCTCCGCGACAAGGTTGTCAGATTTTTCGTCTATCTTCCTCATGTTCTTTCAACGTGTGTGAGCTACCACTTATATGTGTCTATGGTAAACAGTGCATTTGTGACACGAGTAGGGGTAGTGATATGGTATCCAAAAAAATGTTCGTATCAACACCACTGACCTATATTATTTATTTTTTTTTTTACCTGCATTGTATAATTCGACTCCTTGGCTGACCAGACTGATTGCTAAAATGACGTCAGCGTCAACGCTCAGCCTTCTCGTCTCCCATGACGCCTATCGTCTTCTTCCTGTTGCCCCATCCTCATTTCGATGCTCACGATCCACTGCGTTGTCTGTTTGCCACTTGCTGTAAGGCTAACGTCTTGTCAAAATCGATCTGCGCATAACCTAGTGGAGACGGCGAATGCTGCGACGGTGGTGAAGGCGCCGGTTGGGGCGACACTGGTGAGGTCGGCGACGTAGGCGTTGCGGGTTCGCTATGATCAAGGTCGAGCACAACGTAGTTGACGCCAGATGCTGCTAGTGGTGCTCCTCCGGGCAATACTGTGAGAAGGTTAGGCCCTGTTAACACAGGACTTAGCGCCACAGAATCCGTGCTCTGACTTTGTTGTACCGGCACATTTTGATAGACGGGCCCACCTGGGGCTCCAGTAACTGGTGCGTGATGATGGGCCGAGTTGTTGCTGACAAAATGCACCGACGACACGACTTGTGCGCCGATCGAAATCGGTTCGAGATAGTCAGCTGTTTGTCGCATCTCGGGTGAGGGTGGTGAATCGACTAAAGACGACGGCCTGGCAGGAGCCTGCGCCTGGATTCGTTCTTGAAGGAGATTAAAAAGGCGTTCCGCTCGCGGACACCGGAAGGCGTACACTCCACTACCGGTTGGGCACCGACGGCCTGATTCAAACGAGAACAGCTCCGCATCAAAGCCATATCTTCGAAGGCCGCTAAGCGGCCACCGAATCGGTTCACCGCCTTTTTGAACGAATACCAGCTGGGAATCCGTCAATGAGATTCGGCCTGGCTGGACGCGATTTCCCGCGTCATCGACGTTCCAAACAGCGAACGAGGTTTCGTCCGTTTCCGGTGACACACAATTGCCCATCGTTGATGGGGCAACAGCTTCCGCGGCGACCACAACGGGGACGAATACGTACAGTTCGGCAATTGGCCAACCTCCGTTCGGCGAGGTCCGCTTGAGCGAACTCGACGTCGCCTGTCCCACCTGCCCCACTCGCCGGCAGCAGAAGTCTGTTGACGCCACGGACTCCAATTTGCGATGCCACAGCTTAGGCTACTTTCTACTTCCGCGTTGAGTGCGAAGTCAGCGTCCTTAGCCGTGAAAACTACAGTGGTCACAAAAGTAGTAGGAGCATCAGATTCTTTTTCCTGTTTGCTGACTTCTCTGTCGTTTCCTCCTTTCCTGCGCGGTTTCCGCAGGAATATCAGCTTCAACTGGAGCAGTAATGGTAAGTTGCAAAATTGATGACGAACGCGTTGAGCACTACCATTAACGCTGTTCCTAATACGATAAATATGATGTCTTATTCCAGAAGGTAGAATAATAAACAAATACGGATTGCGACTCGCCTGCGTGGTAAAGGCTAGTCCCACAGATTGAACGACAGCGTTTGAGCTTGCCGTTGTACACTTTACCCTTACCGGTCTGTCACCAAAAGTAGCAGTTCGAATCGACGAAGGCGATGGAAATCCAACGGCTGCCGATGTTTCTACAACTGCTTTGTTCGTTCTTGTCGTTATGGTTTCTGTTGTTCTCGTTAGTAATGGTCGTCCTGGACGCCGCGGTAACACAGCTGCTATGGAAGTTCGAATAATTATTAGAGCTCCTGCTGCGGCTGGTGCTGACAAAGTACGTATTGTTGTTTTTGTTGTTGTTGTTTGTGGGGGTGTTTGTCCTACTCGCTTTTGCTGCTGTTGTCGGCGTTGTGCAACGTCTCCTCTGGCGCGCACTCGTGATACTCTCTGCGGGGCCATCCCCTCGTCCGAAGGGGCTCGACATGGTATTTAGCGGTATTAGCAATAACAGCAACGTTCTCTCAGGTCCTATCAGAGGGAGCACCAGCAGCAACAATAACAATAGCAGCAGCAGCAGCGGCAGTAAAAAACAGTGGCACGAACAGCGATTTGGACGACGACCTTGAATAGTGGTAACAGGAATAACGTGCAGCCAGAAAGCTCGATTCTCTCACAAAGGTACTTTTCCCTACGCATCCGAACACTCAGTCACTTACTACCAGCAATCAATAGCAGGCAACCAAGTGAGCACAAGAGAAAAGCATTGCATCTTTCTGCCTGCATCGATCACCATTTAATTACATCAGCGTCAACAGTATCAACGCTAGCGGTAACCGTAGCAGCGACGCAGCCGCTGACGAGGAGTCAAGTAAGTCAGCTGAGAGCAGGGATTCAGTTGTAGTTGTCCGGTTAAAGAGATCCACGACAGCACGAATGATTTTCGAGGCAACGGCGGCACCAGGACAGTAAGGTTATGTGGCGCCTTGAACGCACCCTCAAAAGAACAAGGCAGGCTCTCACAGAACCCCCATATTTACAGTCAACTCATTTCACATACACTCAGGACAATGATGACTGCTGTTATTACTGCTGCTGCTAATGTTACGATGTATAGAATGAAACGATGGAATGATAGAGACTGGCTAAACTGGCTTTTTTTCCTTCTTTTTTCTCTCAATTAGAATGTCGTATACAGGCCTTACCAACTGATTAGGTAAGCCAGTAAAAAATCACCACCATTCGATCATCGGTTGGCTGCTAGTAGCAGCGACGCCAGCAGAGCGAAATGAATACACGTACGTAACAGCTGCAGTTAGTAGGTCAGTTGAGTCGTACGAGTAAGCAGGTGAACCGTCTCGTACGACAGTGCTCTGTCGTCGCGAACACTGCATAGTCACCGAGAAAGGGCGAGAGGAAAATGGAGCTAGCCCAAAGCGCCGAACAGGCTCGGATGGGTGGGCAAACAGACACAACAGTGAGCACCATCGGTGCACCATTAAATGGACAACTGCGGTCATGGAGGCAGCCATCTTGGAGGCCCCCAAGATACAGATGGCGCGAAAATTTAAAAAACAACGTAGAGAGAAGATCGACAGGGTGATGCGCGTATTAGTTGAGCATGTGTAATAGATAATATTAAAATAGGATCAGATAGCGGATGTAATCTGACGACGTTTAGAGTGCAAGAACAGTTTTATTTTTGCATGCGGTACCTTCAAACTGGGTGTTGTTTCGGTCGAGTATCAGTAAATGGTGAAGGTTGCTTAGATTGTCGTATCTTCTACTGATCTTTACGTTTCTGTATGAAGTTGAAAGTTGTTGAAAAAGCACGCATTATATGGAAGAATAAGAATGGTTTTAAGTTTTGATGACTTAATTGTTTGTCTGTTTGTACCGCGAAATACATACTTCTTTGTAACCAAAGTCGGGAAATGTGGAGGAAGACGGAAAAAGAAGTGTGGGAAAGAGGAAACGAATATTGCAAACGTCACACTTCACGTAGTCGGGTAACTTTAGCAATCTTTAGTAATCTCTACTTTAGAACGAAGATGAGAAGAGAATATACAGGATGATACAGATATATTGGAATAAATCTTCACGGACTCTTTCTCGTGGCAGGCATGCATTTATCCGTTATATCTGGTGCATATAATAAATTACCGGTTCTTTTTAGAACAAGACCACGAAACAGTCACGGTAAGGTCAGGAGGTTGGCCTTTAGAATGCGAGCGAAGATAAGCTATTTTCAAAAACGAACTCCCGCCGAAATAATCAATTTTTTTGCTTTTCCGAGATCTACGGTTTACCGTAACGCAAAACAGGAAAAACGGGACAAGGAACCCACGATCTGGACTTTAAGGCTGATTGAAAAAATGACAATCACGACTTCCCGATGCGTGCTTTGGAGACTAAATTTAACGTGCGTAGGCCTATCATTGCTTGAATTGTTCGCGCAGTTTTCAGGTACAAGCCTTATGCCGTTAATGCTAAGCGGAAGCCTTTTAATATAAGCCTTAAAAAAGCTACGTTTCTGTATAGCATGAACAAAAAGGCTGTGACATGGGTTTCAAAGCTGAATCGTAAGCAATGCGTAATTAGAACAAATAAGTATCCCTATCAAACATATCCTTGTTGGCTTGTTCAGTAAGAATTACTCGAACCCCATGCTTAAATTTTTCCAAACTCACAGCTATATTGTTATATTTTACTTGACTAATTATATGGGCCGACCCATGCCGCGGCCCACAGGTTCATTTAAATTTACCGAATGAAATTTTTAAACAACATTCATTCGCTGAATATTATAGCTAAAACATATCACAATAATGAGCTACTTAGCTCAGTCTAACGGTTGGTTCCAACAGCAGAAAGAGACACTGTCAGTGCTTATACCTCGTTGAAGTTAAGAAGTGAAATAAGGGTCTGACAATAATGCCGGCTGCTATTCAGTTACTAAGAGAGAATTTACGTTTAAACGTCATATTCAACCTTACCCTGAGTCACCTTTAGCTTTAAGGCTGAAATACTGAAAACATACTTATCAAGCTTAGATTGTTGTGTGAACGGCAACGTTACGCACTCACCAAAAGTTATTTCATAGAAGAGGTCCTATTTGTTTTGCTGTTCGTGTGTTAAGCTCTTCTAAACTCTCAGAGCAGCTTTAACCAGTTTCAACGAGTTTTTATTACATTTTGCTCAATCACTTGTTATATATATAATTCGGAAGTAATTAAAGTGTAGTAATACATCAGCTATGTATGTGTATAGCTATACACATATATAGCTGATATTCGACAGTTGCCGACTGGATCGGTTGTTTACGGCATATATGTATTGATTTACAATGGTACCACCTGGTGGTTAAAGACAGTAACATGAATAGAAGGCTGTGCTAAGCGCCATGGTATTCGCCAGCGCATGACTCTAAGTATTGACGCGGTACACTATCAAATAGGGCAAGACAGAGTTTAATACGCAACCGGAAGTAATTACGGTGTATCTACCTAGGATTCTACTTGTGAGAATTCCTTGAGACGTATTTCCTCAGGGCAAATGTTGGCTGTCATTGATTGGTGCATGCAGCCAATTAACTTCCCAAACAGCGCTGCATTAGAGGTTTTTGTTATAGCCTTCTGGGACTTTTATACCATTTAAAATGGCTTCAGATGTGGATACCCTGTTTCAACGTAATTTCACTACTTACATTGCAGTTGCTCTGATTGAAAATGTTCGTTTAACTGAAAAATAGTTTCACAAGGTACCTTATTATACAAGTCATGCGAAAACAGGTGGCTAATAAGTGCAAAAAAACAAAACCTGCAAGCTCTATATAAAGTAAAGAATCTAAACCTGACGAATTATTCTCAGAGACTTACAGATATCTACCTAGCTAGCAACTTACCTGGAATATCATACATAACCATAGCACTAATATAGAGACATCATAGAATGATAGTGCTTGCCTCGTTTCCTTTGTTGCCTCTTATTTTGACGTGTTTCTGTCGTGCTGGTCATAAACTCGCTCTGAAAAGCAACTTCGAACAAATAAGACTGAATAACAACACACCAGTTGGATCTGTAACTTTGAGGTGATTCGAAAAATCTATCTGGGAAGTGCGTTGTGTATATCAAATGAACTCTGGACTTTTCGAAAATGGTCCTACTTTTTTGTGAGCTGACTTCTATATAAAGTCAGCTATAGGTCATTATAGATAGAGCTGTATCAAAACAATGTTATCCCGAGGAGTTCATTTGAGAGTTGGAAACGAGCAGTACACTATACACTTATTTAAATTTCCTTTTGATAGTATTTAATAATAATAATTTTATTTAATAATAAAAAGGTACGGGCAGTACCAACATGGAGACTTATTTATTATGAGTCCTTTCAAGAAAATCGAGGTGAAAATAGTCAACGAGAAGAAGTTATATAAGTATTTGTCTTAAGCTTAGGCCAGTTGCGTGGTTGACCGTTTTGTTATGAGAACGAACCAGATCGAATGTCCACTTAACTCCAGTCGAACCGCAAGTTTAGAACTTATTCTACGACACAAATGAACATAGTACAAAATAATTTACATGTGATGGTATAAGGAAGCTGAAATATCTGTCTGAAACAAAGTTTCTCGAGAAATTTTCTAAAGCGAAAATTGACTTTTGTTAACGGTAAAATTCACGAAGCCCAGCTGGCCTTGTATTCTTCAAATGTTCGCTACTCTCATGAACATCTAAACTATCAAATGCACTAAACCTGATTAAAGAGAGTTTTATGGTATGAGGTTCGCCTTACTGGCAGTGGCAGAAAGTTTTCATTGAACATTTTTTTTATCGTATGCCGTTGAAGCCTCGCTAACTCGGTCGTCATTAATGCATACGTATAGATTTGACTAACCGCATTAAATACTAGTTTTTTTTTTTTTTTTTTCTTTTATTGTAAATGGTATAGTGGTATTTTGACGCGATCGTGATTATTTAACTAGTGCGGCCTTCAATTTTTTGCTGTCTTTATCTGTGGCGATTCGAGCTCTAAGTTTGACTTCTCTGGATGTTCAGTCAGTTCGGCCATTGGGTTGTGGTATCTTAAAAAGTGCTTAAGGCCGCCCAGCGAAAACATTCGAACTAACCGTTTTGTTGTCTCTCTGTTATCAGTTTTAAATCGGCCGCGTTCGGCCAATATATCGACATGTACGATTCCTTTTTTACCTGAATAACACTTTCTCGTGGCTCACATTTGCTGTGTGACAAGAACCATCAGTTCTGATTTGCGTCAATCGTTTTCACTATGTCTCGTAGTGCTACACCTTTTGCCTATGTCTTGTATACACTGTGTACAATTAACGTAACCCTCATAGTTTTTCCCCTCTCCGATGCGTATGGGTGAGGACACGTACGTTCTGCTATTAGTACCATTCTGACATCATCATCGTTGGCATCATCCACAAAGTGGCAATAATTCACTTCCACCCTCATTCAAACAGTGTAATCATGAATAGAGTAAGTATCATATAATTAATATCTGTAGACGAGATTCTTTGGGTCAGCGAAAACGACACAGTAACTCAGAAACTGAGCCCCGCCTTGAACTCAACTGACTTTTGTATTAATCTCAGCCCTTGAAGTTGTTTATTTTTACTACGTTTCTCTCAAATTGAACTGTCGTCGGGCGAAGATAAAAAAAAATTCGAAGAAAAACAAGTTCGAATATTGGTGAAGTAAGGTCACTTCTTTGCCGCCAGTGTCACTTTCATCTGCTTCCGTCGACTTTGCTGTTCTAATTTCTAAATATTTATTTTCCTGTTCTACAGGAATAGCTAAATATACATAACAATGTGACCACTCTTCGAACTTTTGACATAAATCTCGTACGTCATGATTGTGCTCTTTTACGCCTGATAGCATTTACTGACTCCTTTAATCTCCTGAATTACTATGAAGTCACAAAGGCCCATAGCACGGTTTTGAGATGTTTTTTTTTTAAATGAACGCTAAGGATCCTTCCGTCCCCCGAAGACCTCTGCGAAATATACCCAACATCCCCTATTCTAGTAAGCGTTCAGCCCATGGCACTTAATCCTCGGCTTGCGTATGAGATAGCCACCATACAGCTCTATCTCGACCACTTCGACTTTAATTAATAACGAGTCATATTAGCCACTAGCTTTACGTGTTTCTCCTTATTTATGTATATATACAGAGAGAAACTTATGTACACGCCCTCGTTTAATTATTAACTGACCAATTAATCAATACGACAAGATCTCAGTCTGCTACCCATATCTTACGACGGTCGCAGTTAGTTTCGTTCGTTCGTAAGCAAAACGTCCTCGAACGATCGTCGTCCGCCGGTACTTTAGCTACCTCTCACTGAAAAACATCTGTCATTCTTTCACCACTATCCCGCGCATTCTTATGTGCATAGAGGTCTCTGACGTTTGATCAGAACTGCCTCGTAACTCCGATTGCCACAATTAAAATTACTAAATAACGATACACATACAATTCTGCTTTGATCATGTTACTCAAAATCTCAGCTATGATGTCTACGGTTAGCTTGTACGTTTTCCGTGCATGAATGTTGTGAAGATAAGTGCTCTAGTCCGTCGAGTTTTATTCGGACACAAAATTCGTTTAATACCTCACTTTTTATCCATTTGACGGCGGAGTTTCGATCGTGTTCGATAGAGGATGAGATATGGCAAATGGCAAGATATCATAATTGATAACAACACATTGACGAGACTTAATGTTGTCCTGAGCCTCATCCGGCGTACCTTTGATAGATACACGAATACTTAGCGTGTAGCAACAACTGCAATAAGAAACTCCACAATTACAGCAAGTTCCTATATCGCGAGCGTTCCGCAGGCGCGAATTTTCTCTTATTCGACGTAATAATACCAACACAAATTAAGGTGCTGCGTGTCCCTAAAGACACCCCCTCCTTCTGTTCGATTCTTATAATATCATAATGAATTCCCATTCATCACCATCGCATTAGCTAGCTGACCCGGCTACTTTTGCCCTGTGAATATAGTTACATACAGTAAGAGTAATCTCGTACGTATACTGTGACTGTTTTTCTGCTTACTATATGCCATACCCTATAGTGTACAAAACTGTCACATGAATAGATTTTGTAGAGTTCTTGTTAATTCTGATTGCAGCTCAAAAGCTACTGTAATTTAGAACGATTTCCAACAGCATCATTGGATGGGTATCGTTGGAGTCCTTCGAAAGTACACCATTTGCTAGCTACGTCTGTTTAGCGACAGCTGTTGCTTCTGTTACGATAGTGGTGGTAGTCGTTTGTGGATTTACTTAATTTTTTCTCACAAGAAAGTGAATAACGGGTGTTGATGGTCTGATTGGCCTGACTTAGTCGACTAAGATGACGAAGGCAAGCTGTAGTAATTTTTTGACCTCAGACAGGACTTGTTTCGCTTTACGGCGCTGGTATGTCTTTATTGAGAACATCATGAAGATCTGCAGGCAGCGTGGCGATGAGGTCTTCGAGACGTGCTTTAAGCTTGCACGCTGTCTCCCGCGAGATGTTTTGCCGCTTGTCGATCAGCTCAAGTTTGGCTTTTAGTTTGAGGACGAGATCGATTACTTCGACCTCATGACGACTACGCGCCCATCCAAGAAGATTAGTCTCCGAAATCACCTCTATATGCAACTTTTCAATATTTTCTGAAACCTGCAAGCAGAGAAGGAACACGGAAAAGAGTGTCAAGTACAGCGGGTTAAGAATAGGCCAGTGCTAGGATTTTTTGGGCCCATCATTGCGATGGGTTGAGAAAACTGGTTGGGCTGGTGCGTGACGATGCGAGTTAGCCACATGCACTAGGAGCGAAGAGAGACAAATCAACACCTCAATAAAGATTGTCATGATTAAAGATCGCTAGTTCAAAGCCGACAACTTGTGCACGTGTCGTATTCATCTAGAAGGACTAGAACTGGGGCACGATGTAACAAATGCCCACTAGATGAATAGCGTGTCGTTATGCGCTCATGATCTGTGTATGGTGATAATGATGGCTTGGCAATATTATCTATATATAGTATAAAAGGTATTATTTTCGTTGTGCTATAGAAGAACACTAGAAAGCTCTGCAAATTAGATGCAAGGAAATGTTATCTATTAATTTGGGTCGTTCAAGATACACTGATATACGAGGCACGTAGTAATAACAGTAGACTTCATTTGAAAGTTCTCTTGTTTTACAGATATCACGTTAGTTTGTAAGTGAGAGAATTACTTTGCATGTTTTTCTCTAGGTGCATCACATTGCACTTATGAAAATAAATGCATCAGATCCGGTCAGGAGCCTACATGACCGTATTTGGGCAACGCTTGATGAGACCTGTTGAATCGAATAGATCAGTATTCACTTTTTAAGAAATCTGAAGACAGTTTTTGCGAAAAAAAAAAGAAAAAGGAAAGCAGTACACATCAGGCAAAATAGTGATCATATGCAAAATTCTAAAATATCCAATACCCGTGGCAAAATCTAATGGACGATTTGCATCTAAAAGTATTCTCAGACATTTCCTCGAAAACGATATTTAGCGACGACAAAATAACTGAAATCAGCTTCTTTCTCCCTAAATCGAGACATTGACTCGACTGGTGATTCTACCACGTAACCGAACTGTGTTCCACTCACCCTGGCTTTTAAACTTGCTAATTATTACCTTACATTTATGCCTTAAGTCTGATCTGTTTTGCAAGAACCAACTAAAGATTTTTATTAAAAAAAAAGGGGGCTTTTATCTATACGATAGTATATGTGCTATCTCGATTTGCCAGAACACGATTTCGGAACAGCTCCATACATTTGGTACATCTGATATACTTCAATCACAATATCTCACTAAAAATTAGTTCACCAACTTACACGGACTGATATTATAAACGTATTGGACATCAGCATCATCAGCACCATACAAGTCGATACAACGCTCTAGTTCCCAAATGTGATAATATTTTCACTTAGAAGGATACCTTTCTATTAGCGTTTTCTTTTGTCAAATTCTGACACATCAGTTACCTCGGCAGCACTGGCGAGAAACCTTCGCTGTTTCTGGCAGGTCACAAATCTTTCTCTGAAACTGAGCCTTGCTCATTAAAGCAACGTGTCAGTTGCCCCACCGTTTTAGCATTCTTTGCTTTCACATGGTCAACGAGACTCCAGTACCTACAGTAGAAGTGCTAACAACAACGAATATAGTGAACTTTCCAGCTGAGGAAGACCTACCTCGCGGTGTCTGGCCTGATACCATCCGTGAAAGTTTCGTGAACGGAAGAATTTGCGATAGAGATCTGCCCATTCCCCCTTGATGCCCGTAGTGAGCTGGGGGCCCGCCGTATCAAGCGTTGCCAAGAAATCGTCTGGATTGAAAGGCTTTAACAACGGAGTGCCCTTATAGGGTGAAAGGTTCTTCTGGAGGGGCATCAGTGATGTCATATACCGCTCCAAGGGGATCATAAAGGACTGGGTGAGCTCCAAAAAGTATCTGCATGTGACATAGATTCAAAGAAAAACAAACAAGAACCTTTGTAAAAATTATGGGTGCAACGGTTGAACACGTCAATGTCTACTGCGATCAATAAAACTGAGGTTAAAGTAAAGGGTTACAATAGAAAAGGATATCAGCAAAGTTTCAATTTGAAAAGAAGCCTAAAGGGAGTATGTCAGATTCGTCTTTCTCTTAATTGATTCTAGCGGATGCTGTTTAAAGGACGAAAAATCAATACTCATTGATGTATATATTTTTTTAAAGAATACAGTATTACTACTACACATTAGGGGAACATTTGAATTTTATTAATTTTCTATGCAATTTCAATTTCCAAACAGCAAGTGACACAATGTGAAACGTCTAAATCCAATGATAGTTCGTGCCGCACTTCGGTCATACCGTCTGAGTACAGCTGATTGAACTTCCGAGGGTCGTTTTGTTTGAATACCCTTCCAAAGGCCCTTCAGGAGCCCTTTATCTTTTCGTAATAGGGGCCGATATTGAGTAAATACGCCGGTCTGCGTGTCGAGCGTCTTGAGATTCGACGCACGTTTCGTCTTTGTCGCTCCGCCGTACTTGGCACAGCAATCCATGCTTGAGTAGTCTTCGCCTACTTTGATAATGTGAGGCCAATGCTGAAAGGTCTTTGTGAAGAACGGATTCGTCACCTGGAATTTGTGATACAATCGAATTAAGAACACTTAGGCCCTAGTCTTAGTCAGTGGCAGAAAGCAGCGACGCTATCTGTATTAAGCAACCTTCGATGCTGTAGACAAAAATAAACTTATCGACTTGTTGTAATTGTTAGTTTTCTTTCGAAATCTCTAACATACCGACATGCACTTATTGGCCGGCAAGCAACAACTGCAATTAGGCGAATGAGTAAATAAGCTGCTTCGTTTTTATAATTAAAGACACATTAAGCACCGACATTTTCGAAAGTCTGTCAGCTTTTAGACGAAGATGTCGTTAATAATTAGGTGATAATACTCACGCCGAGAATGACAGCCGGTAAACAATTCTCACGTGCCGTGTACTCCTTGAACTCCGAATCGTGTATCGTAAAGAAAGGTCGGAAGTCCGAGCAGAATTTCAATGGCCACACAAGAGACACTAACGACTGAACAAGCTCGGAGCAGACGCAGGGTGAGTTAGCCATGACAACAATGGGCTCGCAAGTGATCACGAGCTCCCACAATAGCTGTACGTGATTGAGTATTGGAGCGACCGAGCGGAAGAGATCCGGTTCGTGTACTGACGATAGAATAACCGCAGTCCGAGTGCATTTCTGTAGATGCAAAATCGAATTTGTAGACTGGAACGATAGAAAATACCAAACATGAGTGTCTCTTTGCTTATATCAAAAACACAGCCAAGTTCTACGATTTCAACATCGTTTGTTAATTGCGCGAACTGTAAACAAAATACAATAATAGACCACTTGTCGTTACTGCGAATTTTATAAACATAGAAATATCTAATTATATTTAACTACTACGAGGTCTGTTGTTTACTATAATTAGCCAAATATTTATACGTGCTCAATACTGCGTTCGTAGCTAGGCAGTCAAAAGATACCTAAGTTCACCTGGATGATCCTCATCTTAAGTAAGTTTGATTTGACAAATTCCATATTATTTCGATCGTACTATTCACGTTTTCAGATCAATCATCATCAAATAAACTATTTTGTATCACAAAATATTGAGCTTTTTCAAAACGTCTAAACGTATTTGATGGTTGACGTTCATACAGTTGCTTGGCGATATCATGGCTGCCGACGTGCTGGTCGTCTCTAACTTTCCTTCGTAATTGGTCAACCACCAGAGAAAGCATCTTCTATATTGAAATTTCTAGGAACAAAAGGGTCATGTCCTCGATATCGCATTTTCACTATGGGTCTAAACAGCATTTGTGTTTTCATCATGATTAAATGATGAGGATGCTTATAAGACTTTCGCTCATCTACAAAGTGTTCGCATCTAAAGTCTGAGTAAAGGCATTTCAACACGTTTATTACTGCAAAATTTCAACTTTCGAATGACAAAAACGCCGACAAATATGTGCTATATATAAGAAACAGCTACATATACATATGTATATACCCAGACCACAACGGTAGCAGTATTAAAGGATAAGCTTGACTGGCTTGGCATTTTTTGCCACGAAACTTGCTCGCATCCACACGTACAGACAATTTGTTCTTTATTCATCACATTTTCGTGTTATTATATTACTTTTCAATACAACTGAACTGAATTGAACGGATCAACGTATGCAGCACACACTAGAGCCAGCACAGTGTGCATGTTGGCCTTGAATAGGCACTATGTTTCCGGAAGTCCTTCCCGTCTAACGAGAGGAGCTCTAGTTGAAAGCTTTATTTTGACCGAGATCATACTGAATTCAATTAGTGCCCGGCATCCAGCAGGCAACACTATCGGCGGCCCGCAGACATTTGGGAAACAAAAGTGTCACAGCCTTTCACTCATTGAATTTGCAGGCCTGCGCATAAATTGTTTAATGGCTAGCAACATAGTAAATTGCGAGCCCATTTAATATATCGTGGTTTCGTTTTCACTGAAATTCACGCATATTTTCAGCGCGTACACAAGAAGGAATGGCGGGTAAAAAACAAATGCAGCGTTTAATAATTCCTTCGCCGTTATCTTCAACCACTATAAATTTTCCTTCACAAAAAAACGTTCGTGTTGTAAAGGACAATTGCACTCGTATAGGCCAACTATATAATGAACAGCAGCACGGCGGGGAAAGTAACAGAAATTTTGCCTAGCGTTTTCTTTTGAATAACATCGTCGGCCAGTTGGAACATAACGTAAGTGTTGGCCCGACGACGACGATTGGGGCTAGTCAAATTATGCGCATTCTTTGTCTAAGCCGTTGTATATTAGCCTATTATTTGAAACACACGAGACATTTGCCAAACGAAAGCTTGCTGCCCGTCAGATAGACCATTTACGTGGAACAGAGCAATGCTACAGCTGCGAAACTGTGCCACAAAACTATATCTACCCTACGTGTATACATGAGTCAGCGTTATTTCAGAATCTCCAACAGCGATGGGGAGCGGCAATGGACTACCTTCTTTCCATTACACTGGGTACAATAGAACTGTGTATTACTGGCTAATAGTGTTGCCCAGACGTTGTTCCTCAGCTATCCTCATTGTCGTCGTTGTTCTTCGGATGGATGCGTAAACAGACGCCGGGAGCTCCTGACAGCGCAACCATACAGCGTCATTAATCTATCTAGCTGATTCGGTTGTCTATTTGTGAACTGATCTGAGGACTAACACGGACGTGGGCATACTCACGCACGGACACGCAAACAGCAAGCGCGAACCTTCCCAAAACCAGCGACAAGGATGAGAGGCAGGAAGAGAACTATAATGGTGGCAGTGCGGGCTGTTTGCATCGGTCTGCGTCAATTCGCGACACACTCACGGAGATCCCTAGTTATTGTCGCTATTTGCGCAAGTATAACATCGCACGTAAAAAAGGTTAAGGCCAATATGTGATCAAATACGCACACATATAAAACAAAAGCCTTCAAAGAGATGTTATAGAAGGATTTTTCTAACATTAGTTACATACCTACGGGGATACAGTATGCGCATCATACACTGATACTACGTCCTTCCACCCTCCTCAGTACCATCTAATTCAGTTGGTATATATATAGATATATCGCAAGCGACGTGAAACCCAAATTTGTTTAACGCTTAATTTGTGAAACATAAATTCTAAATTTACGGCCAAGATTCATTTTCCAAATTACCTTATTCCGCAATGTCAGTAAACTTATGAAGTGACGAAATCTTAGTAAAAGATATCATTGTGCTAATTAAGCGAACTTAACGGTGCAAAGGTTAGTAATAATGCTATCCTTGTGTTATCTCTTCCTCGCAGTAGTCTTATTTTAAGCATCGTATTAGCTCTATGGGTAGGACCCACACGCTTGCCTGGGGACTGATTTCATCAAGGACGATAAAGGGAAATATGCGATTCGAAGCGGATGTCCATATGAACGAAGCACAATTCTAAGCGTATCCGTTAGTACGAAACGTTTTCTTATTTGTCAACGAGAAAAAGTAGATCAAAAGTGTACCTGCATGTGTATGAGCTTTTTCCCTAAGGTCTTCTAAAGGACAGTACTAATTCGTTACTTGAAAGTAACTTTAGACAATCAGTCGTATAATCATATCGTCGTATAAAGTTATAAGAGCTTTTTCCTTCGCTCTAGTTGGTCATGGTTGTGACTGGCTTGTTTCTACCCGGTTGGCTCGTGGTAAGTTGATTTTTGGGGGGTAAATTGCACCAATTAAAGTCATCAAGTTGGATGTGGTGCATTATCCCAGTTCCTTTATTGGGTTCATATTCGCTTTGTTGTGACGTCAAAGCGAGCCAGATCCGCTAAAAAACAAACCTGAAAAAACTTACTGTTATATATACTGGACAATCCGTTAAAGCTTCCCTTCATTTTTCTGTTTTTGCCAGTAAACGATAAGATAAATTAATCAAGCTAAGTGCCGCAAATAGTTATCAGCATTTGTACTAACAGGCCAAGCGTTCACGGCGGGTACAATCAAAATTAAGCTTCTACCATTGTTTGTTGACTACCTAATTATCATCAGTTGATAATGTGGTCTGTAGATAAAAATGCTATCAGCATCGATATAACGAACGCAAAGACAAACGTTTCCGCATTGTTTTATGGCTCATTTCACCATTCGATATTAGAATTGGATAAAATTCATTTTTTGCTTATGTCCCTTCGTGTACCGCTTTTCAGCGCCAATTAAAGCCCGCCCAATTCAAAAAGCAACCCAGTACCGTCATAACGGGAAAAATATCGAGCTGTACTTTACACGTGAATTCATTTCATTTCGCCTTCATTATTGCTTGGCTACCCCATTCGCAGCTTTTTGGTATCTCTTTTTCACGATAACATTTGTCACCCATGTCAGCCAACAAAAATAGTGCAGAGCAAACGTTCGCGTTCAGATTTGAGTCTACTTGTTTGTCGGCTTTTTTTTTTCTGCAGCTGCGTGGACACTTGTAGTCGAAGATAATGGCGGAGCTCGGGTCTACAATTGGGCCGAATCCCATCTATAGCAGACGTAGTTGGCTTGGTTGTCTCAGGGAACAGCAGCACGGCGACCACTGTAGTACAAATCTGTAATAATAACAATCATAATGAAAGCAATATAATTGTCTTCTAGCGTAAAAACGCCGAGTAACCTCTGCGTAAAGCGGTTTCCTGCTATAGTCGCACCGTTACTGGTATAAGTTTAAATCAAATAGACGCCCACCGACAGTGTTCAGAGCAGTCCTTGCCGAAATTTCGCATTATAGGGCAACGGTGTACACCGATTTAGGACCGCGTCGAGAAAGCGCCTGCCGCAACTACAAAAGCACTGGGCTCAATCGTCGTCAAAGAACGATTCTCATTATGAAAGTGTTAATTATGCACCTTTGCCGCCGTTAATAGTTGTCGGTGATACAAAAAACGTCGACGCAACTGTCACATTAATTTACATCAAAGTAGTCGAATATGAATGTACGCGATTACGATAAATCATGCCCAGCGCCACAAAAAGAACTGTTCTTCGTTCCAGTCTTTAGCTGTAGTTGTGTCATATATCAATATATCACTATATCATATCAATAACGACATTACATCGGTAAAAGCAACGAAACGCATCGCCCGGCCATTTGTTAAGGAAGCTCCGCCGACGCAGCATCCGACAACGAAAACAACAAAGGCGACCACGCAAACACCGAAGTGACAAAACGACGAGATCCAAGAGCGACAAGCCGTAGAAAAAGGCACGCGCCTATTGCGTATTCAGCTACAATAACACCTCGGGTGATGGGATCCAAACGGTATCGGCAGCCAACCGATCCTTCCCACCATTAGCGCTATCCGCCGTACGGCCCCAAAATGAAGGACAATAACGGCAATTGTTGACGTAATGGCTACGGGAAAGAGCACTGCACGAACTAGTTCATCGACTTTCAATTTTGTTGTGTTTCAGTGCGTTCTCTTCCTGTGGGTATATGGCCGATATGCGTAAAGCGTTCAGAGCTCTGCGCGAACGGCGTTAAATCGACTGCGGCAACGACAACTGCTGGAGAACGCTATAGTGCTCGCGAGTCGGATCATTTGCAGATGAAGTGCTCTTGACGGATGATAGAGTGAGTGGTGATGGCGTTTGCATACTGCAAACAGCTGTTGCTGGTGCTCCTGCTACGAACACCACACACGCGCACTTCCTTTCGGCAGCGGTGTCAGTCCTTTGTCTTATAGCATTGCCCTCTGCATATATTGGACCTTCCTTCAGCTGCATATAGGTGGGCGGACATTACACGCCCGAACGTAATGATGAGTGTAGTAAGGGGCAGTAAATCCATTTTTATAGTAGTAGATGGCATAAAAAATACCATCTCCCTGAATCATTTCGAATTCGGAATGGAGACGAGTGGAGGATAAGCCAAAAGGTCCTTGGCGCAAAAAACTCAGCACCGAATTTCTCTGTATTTGCTTGTGCATAGCAGCAGCCGACAGCGCCAATAAGCCGTTGGGTGGTTAACTGAACAACGAATTGCGGCTTCACTCGTCTATCAACCAAAAACAATGGTGCTACCAGCAATCACATTATTGTCGTCATGATCAAAACATCCAGATCCTTGAGCGAATATTGGGCAATGAGCAGACAACTCGGCAGATGGACAGATACGCGAATGCTCAGATCGTTCACACAGACCAAGCCTCGCTGGAGCTGTTTCCGACGCTGTCCTCGTTGTCATCGCCATTGTGTTCCGCGGGATCCGCTTCACTGCTGGGTTTGTGTTTTGTGCCATATGAAAATCATAGCAGCAGGCGAAAGGACAGCCATTTCCCATAAGGATAGATAAAATATGCAAATAGATAAAAACGGTCTGTTTGGTTTATACCTGATACGAATACATGAAACGGTAAAACTCGAGGAATGGAAATCCAGTTAAATACTACATAATCCTTTGATCCTCATTCACATTTCAGTAATGATTAGCTAATCAGCTATTTGTGGGTAAATATGATTTAATATATATTTGCTATATGAAGCTATAGTTGTATTTGTTGCAGGACAAATAAACATGAAATCATTGTCATTTTGCCCAACCCGAAGCATAGTTGATGTTCTAGCTTTATTCGACAATAAATACATTTGAGTATTTCATTCAGAGTAAACAATAAAATCGACTGCTAAATATAGTATGAAACATCTGTATAGACTAATAGTAGACCTACTCATTTTGGAGGAACGTTTAACCGATTTCGTCTACCAGGATTAACCGTAATTGCGTATAGTTCAACTGGAAAATCTACTGCTAGACTGGCAAGGCTTTTTAAGTTAACAGATGCTATATGACGGCTAGCATGATCGATAATAGAATCGATTTGATCTATACAACTACTACAGTTACTACTGAAGCCTGTATCAAGGTGCCGTATGCGTGTGAAGAGCATTACTTCAAATTTTCAGCCGCGGCTTTCAGAACTGCGCAGCGGCCAAATTTCTAAATAAAGGACAGTTACAAGGTCACCAACGCGGTGTCTTTTGACTATATAGCGATAATACAAGCTAATAAGTTGCAATCCTTATACCTGCAATTGGCTGTCAACTTCTAAGGGAATCCGACACTGAAGGACGACTCCGTTAAGCGGAAGAACAAGATCTTTTCCGGGCAACGGTGGAGGCCAACGATCGATGATATGACACGCCGTTTCCAACGATTCGAGCCCGTTTTCGAAAAAGTCCGGCGCCACCAAAGCCACTGTCTTGTGGAATAGATTTACCAATGGTAAGTGCGCGATGAATACCACAGATTTTTGAAAGTACCCTCTCCGAATAGAAGGATCCTTCACCTGTAATATTGAACGAATGAAAGGCCTATTTTAGAACAACAAAAACGTTAGCGTGTGTCCATGTAATTTTGTTTTTGTTATTGTAATTTGGACCAGATACATACGTTGAATATTCGCGAAGCTTTTAGGGTCTAATAGCTTTTTTAAACATTCACTTTTATTTATTATAAATTAAACATCAAAGTACTACTACCATTGTTTAGTTGTACTTTATTCAGGACCTAAATATACATACACTCAGAAAATCAACTGTTCTGTCACAATGGTGACGCCTTAGTCGGGCCTAAAGAATCCGCCAACTTGGAAGTTCTACAAATAATTTAACATAACCTATCTATTACTAAAACGCCCTGACTCTCATAAAATAGTATGTATTTCCTTAGGTATAGGCTGGCTCTAAGCGTCAACACTATTCCGAGTGCGTAGGAAAGAGTAGACAATGAAATATGAGGACTCCGGACTAGGTCTGACTTCCAGCGAATCTGAGCGCGATCGACCAACAACTAACAGCTACTATGCAATACTGGTAGCGTAGAACGCCGAAACCGCGCGTTCCATACTGTTCCAGTATACTGTACATAGATTTTCAAATCTTCTACATGATACCCCATCCAGTGATTAAATAGAAGAGCAACTTACATATAGATGCGTGAAAATATCATAATAAACGCTAGCGAAATGAGTAGTTCCTTTGAAGTATATCATTCTTAACTATCATGGCCAATGAAGCTGTTGATAGCGAATTATATCTAACAGGGTAACTACGTTCCGCGGAGTATAGGGCCATCTGATAACGCCGGCCCTTTCCAAAACAACAAAGTGCTATACGACTAAAAATCTCAGCGATTATTTAAACGGCTGAATAAAATTAGTCGCGTTTCTTGACGGCGACACTAACTTCGTATCGTGCCGTGTAACTTAATGTATTTGTATATAAATAGATGAGTTTTACGTCCAACAGAGCTGTTGAACATTGCGCTAGAAACGCATGGCCATGACAACTGATTAGAAATCCAAACAAAATCCATCGTAAGCCACCAGTGCTATTCATAATACAGATAATCCTGTCATGTTTATTTTCTTTGATTCCTTACAGCGTTCACCGAGGCCGTGACCGTATGGCGGAGATCAAGTGGAGATCTTCGTATTCAACTTATACGAACGGTGACAAGCTCACCTGCGATAGTTGTATAGTACGTCGTTTCACTTAGAAGAGGACTCTGCAATAACAGCAGCAGCAATAAACGTGATGTCCTGCTCGAACATCTAACAAGGGTTGTTGATGGCCTCGTTGCTTAGAAAAGCGCAGGACTATCAAGGGTGCATTTTTCACGATCACCATATACGTATTTAACTTGGCTCACCGTTGTTGTTACATAATAGTGTTATTTTGCCAAGATTAGGTATCGCTCGTTGCCTGGTGTCCGTCGAAGCCTTTGATGCCCTTCCTGTCGTGGTCCTCTCCGCAGTCAGCGCTGTCGCATTGATTGACCATAGCAACTATTACTTAGACCTATTGTTTATGTTACTGCAGCGGCACGCGGCGCAGGCGTGCAAGCCTACGGCCACGATGAGCTCCCGCCAGACAAGCGACAGGGAAGGGTATGAAACCTACTGAGGCGTGTTTAGGTGCTTAAAAAGGGTCGACTCGTTTACGGATTATTGCAATTGACCTATTGTGTCTGACAGTGACGACAATGCAGATTTTCTAACACTTACTAACTGAATCCATTGTCTGCTGGACAGAACATTTTTTAATGGAAAAGAGATGATGATGATGCATGTGATAAAACTGGGTGCCACCGTTGCGTAACTAAACGACGTTATGCAAGGTAACGAACTAAATTCGGCTTTATTGCAAAAGTGTAGGACTATATGAAATGAAGCGGGTAAATAAATGTGTGCAGTATCCGTAACTATGTTCAATGTAAAGGAACCTCTATGGGCCAGCGCACAGGACTAAAATATACTATGTGATTACTTAGTCTCGTTGGCGACTGCCCAACAAGGTAGCAGAAGTAAAATCAATCTAAAAAAGGCCAACGTGCAGTCCTTTTAGCCAAACGTGCAAAGCAGCAAAACGAAAATTCATAGGCCTCAACATAAACGAATCTATTTACACTTTTTTATAGCGTAAAAATATTTCTGACAGTAGAAAAGCCCTATGTATTAATAAGTACGAATCTTCGATTTTTTTGTCGAGAAAAGAACACGGTCCTTACTTTACACGTGACCCAATACTACATGTCCATAACGAAAGTGACAGTAAGTGTCAAACGCAAGCCTAAAAATACGGTAAAGATAGAAGAGTAAATTTCGTCCTGAGTGAACAGAAGCACCTCGGACCAATCGAAACATTACTAGTATAATAGTTAAGAAAAGGCTTTGTCAAAGCTACCCTAACTTTTGCCGTCACTAACTGGAAGCAGAGCCAATCCACTTACGCATATTGTCCCAGCCAGTGTCTTTTACAAATGATTCGTGGTAAATGATTAATTTAGATCATTTCAAAGCTGAGACCATAAATCCATTGGATAGATTGATAGACTGCTCGCTGCTGGTTGAAAGATTTCGCCTGCTCTAACGCTGATTAGGGCTTACATGAACGGTCCGACAAGGCTGCTTCAGTGACATCCCTAAACTATAGGCTTCAGGTCACACTTGCGCCTACTCATAGCTTATTAGTACACTAGCTCATGCGCCAGTAGATCTGCAACCAGTGAGCGTTACCTGTATTTCAGTAAGCCACTGTTGTCGACTGAACGAATGTGTTTTTATGTCTTCCACTAACAGATCATACAGAGGCCATGTACGAATACGCAACAAAAAAAAAAATACAGTACCTAGTTGGTGGATGAATCCGCTCCTGACATTCAAGATCATGTGTATCCTCTACACATGATTAACAGGAACCTGTAGATTGAACTTGCTGTCTGAACTTGAATATATTGTACGTCGCTGTACGAATAAACTTATGTAGTTCGTAGAAATAATACTATAGGCATCGTCATCTAGTTTCATCGTATCTTGTATGGCCGAACAAGTATAACTTAGAAATTAATGTTGGGGCTCTTTCCGCTTTCGTTATTATGATGCCGTCGTTAAGTTTGACAAGCACTATCGAAATGGCTATTGAATATCAAATATACAATCCAACCAGCTGATGGATGGATCCGACATTTAGCAAAGGGAAGAGCATATTTTATCGATCCATATGTCGAACCCTGCTAATCGTTCATGTCTTTCCTAGGAATAGTGTACCACAATCGGTGAATACTTTTGTTGTTATCATTATTATCGCTTTTTGCCGAAAACGATAAGAAACCTACTTTTACGGAGACGACAGCAGGATCAGCTAAGCTTTCTATTGAACTGCGCAAGTAACCCAAATAAATCACAGGATGATCACTCACAAAATGGCCAGCAAACTGCTAGAGTACTTACGTACTCTTGAACAATTGTTTATATTTATGAATTAAATTCTTCGTTATTATTACGATCTGTACGTTTGCTATAATTACGTTTTGTTTCTGAGAGCAACCAACAGTTAGCACTGTAATTGTTAATACTTATTCAATTGCGGAGCTAATGAAGCCATATTTTTTTTTGGTATTCTTGTTTGATTAACAATGCGGACGAAAAGTGGTCAGTAACTATCTATTATCCGTAAGAATTGTCCACGTAAATCCAGCTTCCATGAACCCAAATGCCACATGGGTATACGGTCCAACTGCCCTAGCTAGTAAAAACAAATAGGGCAAACCAGTCATTAACAAACGAATCCGCTCTGTCAGTTTAAGGGGAGGCCACTTTCATGGTGTATTGCATGATTTTTTTCGTATTCAACGATGAAATGCTACAGGACAACATTTTCACTAATTGTGCAAGTTCAAAATATTCATGGTGACGACATGCTGCACTCCGTGAGGTCTGCCGTGAGTACAGTCACATCGTATAATACGACGTACCATCTGCGACCTACGATCTGAACATTTCTTGAAACTACGGATTCCCTTTGGGTCTTACTGACTTACCCATGCTATGTTCTAATAACTTCGTAGTCAACTGGCCGGAGCCTTTGCTCGAACCAAACAGTTTTTACTTACAGTGGGACAACTCTTGTGGCTATTTATGCTCGCAGTTTACGCCAGATTTGTCATCTCCAACTTGCTCTAAAAACCTACTAGGTTGTAGAGAGCAGATACGCCCCCCTGCAGCCATACCGTTGATTAGTTGCAATAGGTCACGGCATCAATAAGCTAACGAATCGAACTTGCTTTGGCTAGAACCCTAGGCAGGACAGTACGATCAGCCGCGCATGGCTGCAATGGGCATGTTGCACAATACTATGCTTGAAACAAGCGACTTATTCACCCATCGCCTCAAGTCGCTTGTTTATGTAAGTATGCCTGTTACGGATGCGAATCAAATCTAAATTACCGTTTGCCGTCTTTTTCAGATAGCTACAATACATTCTAAATAGACGGCAATCAAAAGTTCCTTAAGTAAAAAAACACTTTTCATTTTGCCGTTACTGTGTTGCATTCTAGCGTGTTTTTGGGCTACCGTCTCGATCCACATACGCTAATGCACTATCGGTACGATGATCACTAGCGTTACTTCTGCAGGAGTGGCGACTTTTCATTTGATCACAAAACCGCCCGGGGTTAAAGTTTACACTACCCGCTACTTTAAGTACTATAGTCTATTCGTTATTTAACTAAGCTGTCTAAGATGAAAGATATCCTTCTTAAGCTCTGGGAGGGGAAGTTGTCACATTTTTAACTATCCAAACGCAAAACAGTTTTCAATATGTAGACGAGGTTTAATACGTGCATGACCTAAAAAACTACAGGAGGTTGTTAATTGTTCGTTGCTTACAGGCGACATAAAAGCTCTAGAGTACTTTCATTGCAGCAAACATTTCAACTTACGAAAAGTTAGTGGCTGCAATATACTTTTATTGCGTCCTGTAACTCGCCAAAAGTTACGTTACAAAT